TATATAGAATAGATTCTGCATAAATCTCAAAAAGTTGAAATATCTCAAAAATCCAAAATCAATTTTGGAAACATGTATAGTTATGTGTCTATTTTACCATCCCTAAAAGAAGTTTACTTTTCTAACTAATAACATTAAAGTTCAAAACTATCTGTAATTATTAATTAACTGAAGTCTAAGAAACTACTAAGAATACTGTTTCCTGTCTCTAATGACCACTTCTTTTATACTTTTTCACCTTCATTCAAATTTTACCTGTCATCTTTTGTACTTCATCCTTCATTCTCGTACAATATCTTTCAAATAACAACATAAGTTATTATCCTTGTACAATCATCTTAGTGTTACCATTTATCAACCCCTATGATAATTCATATGCTTACCAATTTACTTTGCACAATATGTAATAAGTAAATGCCTAATTTGTAATATTTTTATAAGTTTTGATTTATAGTTTTGTTGACACTATTATGTACATAAAAGAATCATTACTTAATTAAATTTCTTGTAGTTCTGAGTTTTTTGCTTTGTAAATATACTTATATGTTACTATTTATTATGTATTTAAATTTTAAATTTTGTAAAGAAATAAGTTTGTTTAATGCTGTGTTATACAGATGTAATTGTGAGAATTAAATATGTAAAACAAAATATAAGAAAAGATTTGGATATGGTAGTGGACTCTTGTTACATATCCTGTTGAACATGATAATCATGATATTGAGTTATTTCTATTTGCACCTCTTAATTTGAATAATACATCAGGAATTAAATAAAAATATTCTAGTGCATATTATGAATTCTGTTCTATAGCATTCTATGAATGGCATAAACATTCATATAGAATACTAAATACACAGTTCTAAGGCATCATACAAATGTTTCATTTATAAGCATACTAGAACACACCATTCTAGGGCATTCTATGGATGTTTCATTCATATAGTGCACTAGAATATTTCTATATATTCTGGATGTAGAGATTTAGAGACTAAGGCTATTTTCAAAAAAGAATGTTTTATTCTGTCACTTTGTTACATTTTTAATCAATATTTATCTATATAACAAATTTTAATTTATATTAAATTGTGATTTAAATTTTAGATGACAATTTTGACTTATATGTATTTAATGATTCTTAATAAAGTTGTTAAGTTCAATAATGTCCTTTAAAGATTTCTTTGGCTGGAGTTCCTTTGGAGGTGCCAAGTAGGTTAAGGATGATATAATTATTAAAATATTGATAAATAATTATACTAGTTAGGAATGTAATTTTGCTATTAAGGTTGTTTTTTCGCATCAGAATACACATCTTGCATATTTAGATCAGGAATCAAACAAAAAGCATTCTACAACACTATATGTACATTATTCTATAACATTACTTGAATGGACTAATATACTGGAATACAATGTTTATCAGGAACAACATTTTATAGCATTATTCAAATGGCACTAACATACTAAAATGAAATGCTCTAGTGTGTTATTTAAATATTACATATTAAAAACATACTAAATATAATGTTTTAGTGTATTGTTTAAATGTTTTGTTTTTATAACATACAGAAAGCAATTTTCTAGTATATTATTTAAGCATTTTGTATTTATAACATATTAAAATTGACATTTTTATTGCATTATTTAAACATTTTATATTTATAGCATATTAGAATGTCTCTATAAAATTCCTGATATTCTAGTGTATTATTTAAACATTTTGTATTGGTGGCATACTAAATATACTATTCTAGTGCATTATATAAATGTTTTGTATTTATAGCATACTAGAACACAACATTCTAGTATATTATTCGAATATTTCATATTTATAGCATATTAAAATTGAATTTTTAGTACATTATTTAAATATTTGAAAATTGAAAGTCTAAAAAGAACTCTTTTCAACAATCATTTCACCAGAATTTTTCAAAGAAGAGAAAAATCTAAAAAACACTACAAACAAATAATACAAACAACAGCAAAATATGAATGAGAAAAAGTAGAATGAACGTACATGTCCCAGATGAGTCACAGTAAACTATGGAACTAAAAAGAAACATAAAACAATAATCATCAGCAAGAAAGGTGGAAAAGCAGTTTGTAACACTTTAAGCATAGAAGGAATTATCCAGACAGGTTATAACCTTTTAAGCTCTGGAGCAGGAACTTTGAACAGTAACATTGAAACAACAGCAACAAACAAAAATACTATTGAACAGAGTCAAGAAATAGATACAAATATGTAAACAAAAACTTTATTGAATAAAGAAATGGAAGGAAAAAATACAACAAAAAATGATAAAGGCAAAGCAAAAGAAGTATACAGCAATGATGCATAAATTAATGAAGAAGAGGCTAGTGACAGCGAGTCAGTGGTAACAGTAAACAGCTTCTAGAGTGAACATGTAGAGTGGAGAAAAATGACAAAATTGGAAAAATATAAAGCCTGGGTAAAAGCATCAGTAGTTAAGGAAAAAAATTTAGAGAAGAAAATCCAAAATATTACTTCAGCATTAGACAAAAATATTATTACAATCAGAACTGAAAAAAATAAAAATGATCTGAACTATATATTGTAATTTATTTTGGAAAAAAGGAAGATATGGAAAAGGCATTTGAAATGGAAATTGAAGGGAAAATGTAAAATAATAAACCTAAACTTGTTAGAACTATAATGACTCAAAATAGAAATACAATAAGGAAAAAGGAGTTAAATTTTGGGATATTCCTGTAGGCATGCATGAACAAGAATTCAAACACATGCTTAATTACAAATTTGGAAAAGTAATTACATGTACAATGTCCACAAGGTATACGTGTTGCCCAAATCCCAAATCATTTGGGACTTGGGATGCCAAAATTCCAAATTACTAGTATTTGGAATTTGGAATTTGGGATTTCAGCAAAAAATACTAATCATAATTTGGGATTTGGGATTTGGGATTTTGGCATTTGGGATTTCGACATTTGGATTTTGAATTTGGGTGGCAGGTATACTTTAACCTATAATCAACATCTTTCAAATAAAAGTAAAAGGAAGTCAATTGTATCTTAACAAATATAAGCATATTTTTCAAAAACTTGATGATTGCATTTAGCAATTATATTATTATATTTGAATTTTTTTGAATTGAAACATACATCATGACTTAATAAAAAATTTTTACACTCATCCAAATATTTAGTAAATTTGTTCATTCTAAAAATATTAGGCCAAAAAAGTGAACTATTAGGATCATTATAAATTTTCTTAATTACTTTAACTAATGTAAAAACTGATTTATTAGTTAATACACAACTTTTGCAATATCTTATATCAACATCTTTTATTGCAAGCCTATGTTTAAAAATTCAATTACCAATTTTATTATAAGGCATAGGAGTAAGATCAGATTGATGCATTTTATTTAAATTATGAATCCCATTAAAAGATGCATATTGAGTAAATTTTGGTCAAGGTTTATAAACTAAAAAATGATCTGTTTATTTAATCAATTTTTTATCATAGTTAACGAAAAATTATAACCAACTTTTTTACAGGCATTATGTATTTTTCTACAGTCTGATAATAGTTTCAGGTTGATAATATATATTCTGTAATATAATCTTCCTATTAAGTTCATGAGTCTTTTGTGAATCAATATAAATTACAGGTTCACTCATAACTTTGGTTTAATATAAATAGTAAAAATTTATCATGGAAAAATTAAGACAAACAAATCAGGAACTTTATGATGAGATCAAAAGATTGATTCAATCAAATAGGAAAATTGAGTAATGGATATATACTTTAGAAAAAGATATTGCTATAAGGGAAGAAAGAATTTGATTTTTTGAAAAAGAACTAATAATGTTATCAAATTTTCTAGACAGGAAAGAGAGGAATTATTAAAAAAGATCACAAATTTAAAAAAAATCATTTGTCAACTTGAGAAAGAAAATAAACAAAAAGATAAGAAAATTTCTGTTAGGAAAACTTTAATAACAGAATTTGATGAATAAGAAAAAAATTAAAAAGTAGAATTTGGAAAATATCAAAATCCACAGGAAATATTCCTAAAGTATATATCCAAATAGTAAAGTTGATAGATAAGAACATGTGTCTTAAACATGAAATGAATACTTTAAAATATAATCTTAAGGATCGAAACAATAAATTGATCCAGAAAAAAATTGTATCACAGATCTACATTGCTAAAATTTTGATATTAGGTTATTACATTATTGGAATAAATTAGAACTTATTAATATCTGAGAAACTTTAAAAAATGTAGAAGCATGGAATTTAGGTAATGAATCAAATTCAGAAGATAGAAGTGATTCTAATAAAAATTCTCAGAATACTTATACTTTTGATTCAGATATGACAACAATTTCAGAATTAGCAAATACTATAGATGATTATTTAGATATTTCAGGAACGAATAGATAAATTCTAAAAAATCAAATAAAAAGAACTACAAGGCAGATTTGTTGTAAATATACAAATCTCCAAACTGGTTTGAACAATGTTTTGAATGATCTTAATTTGATAACAATGGCATATAACAATAAAAGAATTCATATCAACAATATTTTTTAGAGTTACAGCAATGTCGTATTAAAATAGATAGATATAAAAATGATTTATTGTTGTGATATTCAACTTGATCTTAAATAGGATAAGTGAAAAAATAGAAATCAAAATGTAAAACAATTAATTTTAAATTTATAGGAACAAATTTTATTGTTACAGAATAATCAAGCAAATATGATAACAATTGTAGATATAGTACAAACAATGATACCACTTTTTGCTAATATACCACAATATGTAGGACAAAAAAATCCATAGGAATATTATGAAAGAATTTTACGTGTATTCGAATATACAGAACTAGTTATAGTTTCTGCTAATGTTAATATTAACAATACATTTGTTGAAATAAATAAATGTAATATTTTAAAAATTAAAATGACTGGAAAATATACTTCAGTACTTGTAAATGATCCCTATACTTTAGAAAATCTAGCTATAAATACTTCAGTTACCTTTTTAACATGGTTTAAAAAAAAATATAGTACAGAAATAGTAGAAAGCAAATGGATAGTGGAAAGATTCTTATCTCAAGAACAATTCAATTCAGCAGATACACCTGATATGTATAGAGAAAGAATAAGACCATATTTAACCTATATATCATATGCTGATCTATTACCATATCTTTATTATCATTTGTTTGAAAACATTGAAGTTCAAATGAGAATGAATTCACCTGCAGATATTAATGCTTTCTTTAATAGTCTTACTATAATTTGTTGTGAATTAAATCAAAAACAAGCTTTTCAGATTAGACAAAATAAAAAAGTACAGGTAATTTATAATGAGCAAAGTCCAGACTCTTTGAGTCATGATATTAATTAACAAAAATTAATATCTCCACCATCTGATATGCAAAAAATAATTCAAGATGAAATGACAAAATGAAATGCAGAAATAGAAAAAATTAGAGCTAAAGTTTAAACTCAAAAATCAAAGAAAACATCACCACTTAAACCTCTAAAAGATATAGAAGAAATCAATACTACTGCATTATTTAAAGAATTATATAATCTTGAATATAGAGATGGACCTATAGTTTTTTTTTTTTTTTTTTTTTTTTAATTCCAACGGAGCCATATTTTATTAAACAATTTATTTTGCAGTTGATAAAAATTAAACAAATTTATAAGAACTACAAATACATTTAATACAACT